GAATAAGCGGATTAAAGCAAAGAAAGTTTTTTATGTTTCCAATTTTCACGCTACTATTCACTACTCTTAGAGCATATGTAATGATGGGTGTTAAGTAGTTTTTAGTGAATTGCTAAAAAAATTAAAAATAATTAAATAAAAAAAATTACTTAGCAACTCTAATAAAAGTAGCTAATTTAAGAGATTTTAGCAACCCAAAATATGAGTTGTTAAGAACTTTAAAATAATTTATAATAAAAAAATTACTAAACAACCCTATTTAAGTTCTCTCATTTATCATGTTCTTAGAAGTCAAATCATTTTTTTCTTCTTAAATTCCACCGGAGAAAAAACCAGCGTAGAAGATGAACAACACATGAATCAACGTTGATCGGATGTCCATGGTAATCAGTTTGTGTGTGTGGATAATATAGCCATAATCTATTCACAATCGTTTTACTTTGGCTCCATTTTAAAGTTATGATTTTTTGTGTGAAATAATTTTGTAAAAGTTGGCTCCAAAATTTCTATCTATCTAAAATTCTATAACTGACTTCCGTTCTCTAAATGACGATTCATGTACAAAAGTAAAAAGACACGTACATCTCAAGTTGAAGGAAGTACGTGTAGTTATAGAATTTTTTTTTTTTTTTTCTAAAAGTTGGCAAATTTTTTTTTCTTTTTTTAGTTGTAATAGTAAATAATTTTCTTATTTAATAAAATATGTTTTCCTAATATGCGTGAACATTTCTTAAACACTTTATATAGAAAAATGGAGGGAATATGGATTTTCTGCTCTCACGGATCCCGAATCGGGGGACCTCAACGAGGACATTCGAGTCTTTCTGTGGCTCCTATGGTACCTTTGAAAAGCCGGTGATGACAAAGTTTTTAGTAATATAGATCGACCCATATCTGGGATCCTGGAGTTGGCCAGAAAAGAGGCGACATAGTGGTTATTGGCCAATGCTGAGGCTGAGAATGCCCTGCAGCAGTAGGGGTTGGTAAATACCCTTGAGATACCTACTGCAATTTTCACTTGTTTCATAGATGGCTCTTGGAAGGAAGATGAACCTACAAGTGGGGTAGGGTGGATTCTATAGTTGCAAGATGAAGAGATTGATCTGTTATGCCTCAGAGGAATGTGTAGGGGGCTGTCCCCACTACACACAGACCTACATAGTCTTTTTTGGGCTATGGAAAGCCTACAGAGGAAACAGAGATATTGCTCGGTGTTTCTCACAGATTCTCAGGAGCTAGTTTCTGCACCAGAGAAATGGTCACGGTTTGCCTCCGAATTAGAGGAGCTCAAGGAACTGCGCAAGTCTTATCCAGAGTTTACCATCAGGTATTGTCCAAGGACATAGAACGAAAAAATGGACACGCTCGCAAGGAATACTCGGCTCAGGAAAACAGTTTTTTCTAACATCGGCACTTTTGTTCCCTTTTGGTTCACGGATACTTCGGTATCCTTCTAACCAAATAACAAAAGTGCGTTCGTGAGAAAAAAAAAAAGAGAGAAATGGAGGGAGTATATATGGCTGACAAAAAGTGTACCAAATATTTTTCCTAAACTTTTCAGTTTAGTTACGAACATTAATGGTCTTGGATATCCCAGAGAGATGTGATGATGGTGGAGTGTCTCCAAGAAGGGAATCGAT